GACAAAAACAGAGCCTAAATGAAGCTCGAAAAATTTAGTTTTCATGCCTTCATCAACTCAAAATGATCACCCAACAACATAGCCTCGAAATCACGTAAATTACACGTTAAGCAAGCCTCGATATCAATACTTTAAGACTTAAACATAAATATCATCAAACACGTTGTCCGAGGTCCAACTCGGTCTTATTAAACAAGATAGAAAAAAAATAAAGTCTTATGTCTTTCACTTGAATTATTACATCTTTTGGTTTGATAATACATAACAATTCACATTAATACATAAATTCAACCTCAATCCTCGAAGATCACACATACATCACATGAATCTGACCAAACCTATCATGATATAAACGAGACTCTCAACCTAATACCTTTATCTCATCACATCACATAAAGGGAAAATCAATAAATCACATAATCCTTATCTCTTACCCAACTAACCATGGTTCGAGCTAGCATGAACTCACCCTTACTAAGGTACAAGAGACATTAAACACATAATACACCAGAGGTTGAACAGAGGCCATGAACCTCCGTGATACTGACAGCCTATAAAACATCGACTCATCTCATAATTTTCGAAACCTGGTAAAGGTTCGAAGAGGGCGAATACATTCCCGGTTCTCATTGACCGGGTCCTCACTTGAAGACATTGAATATAATTATATAGCAAGGGAAAATGCTATGGGCATAACTTATCTCGATAACAACAAACTGAACCTCATAGCGAGGAACCTCTAGAGTCCGAACTTAACTCTATATCACTAGAGTTCAACATCAAACACTAGAGTTCACATTAAACCAAAGGTGGATAGATCCTAAGCCCCAAAAGTCAATAAGTCACAACATAAGCAGTTTCATTACTGCCTATGTAAAAATATAAAATTTCACTTCTTCACACTATAAGTATTTTCATCGATGCTTATATAAAAATACCTTTAAGCAGCGCGGCGTGACGAAGACGAGTGGTCGGATACAATTTCTAAATACTTAATCACATATAAACCAGTCTACAGAAACGCAGACTGGCTCTGATACCAAACTGTAACGCCCCACTTTATTTTAAAGAATTTATCGAATTTATTTAATAAAAATCACAATAAATTTTTCGCAAACTTTAATTTAATTAAAAACTCAGTGGGCGCTACTCAAATTTACCAAAAGCCTTTAACCAAAAATGCAAACTTATCAAATAAAGACAGCATGCACGAATAATAAATCATAAACCCAACTGGCATTCATTAAGTTCCAAATCATAAAGATAATTCACAATTCCAAGTTCAAAACGACACAGTCATAATATCTCAACATAAATGAGCGGAAGCAAAATAAATAAGCGCTAAATAAAGCATGACCACCACCGTCTTGTCTCGTCACCCGCCGACTGCTTAACCTGCATCAGTTACGAGCAGGTGGGAGTGAGTACAGTTAACTATCGTACTCACACTATGCATATGAATAACATAATAATGGTATGGTCGCAGCATGAACATAAACAATAAAATCATATCACATCTCTAGCCACATCAATGACTATAGTCTCATCAAAGACTCACTCATGTACATCTATGCTCATCAAAGCTAAGCCATGCCATATCAGTGAAACATGGGAGTGCGTGCCACATCAATGACACGGCCTTCTCATAGGTCTTAATGAGATTTACCTCACGGGGTAACCGTATCTTATCATACGGGGACAACCGTATCGACGGCCATCAAGCTCACATCGATAGGCTACATGTTCATTTTCATACATAGATCACACCAACTTTCATCACAATTTAAATCACACATATGCATAGATAATTTTAGAATAACCCACCTGGATTCCGGATTGATAATAACTCAAAGCAATTGGTAGTAGGTCGAGGCTGGACTCCTCAATTACCTACATTGAGTTAAGATGCTACAATCAACATCTATCTTGACTTTAAACGGAAAACACAAAACAGACCTAGTCGAACTTGTTTCGACTAAGTAGTTCGTGAATTCCTGTGGATGTTGGAACACTAAGACTCGGCACTAAACTCGACCAAACCACATATGGGAGTTCAAATAATTTCATCTAATGATAGACCAAGTCAAACTCACAACAGAACGAAAAGCAAGTCGATTACCGTTTTAAATTCCAAAATCGTACTTTAAAATTTACTAGCTATTAATCACATGAAAATCATTGACCAGGCTGCCCTACGACTTAAGCTGTGAAATTTTTGCCAAAATTACATCTCCCAATAATTAGTGAAACCACCAAAATTCAGCTTCAAACTCAAAGCACATAAATTTATAAAACTCCTACAAGAAATCAGCAAAAATGCACATGGATTTATATCTGAACCTAATGAATGAATCAGGACTTGAAAATTTAACTTGTATGATGTAAACAACATGTAAAATCCCAGCTCTGGACATTAACTGTGCTATTTTTAAAAATTCACACAAGATTCAGCAATTATTGAATTTAAATCAAAACAGCACTAAAATGAACTCCAAAAATTTTCATCTTTTAACAGCATGAATATACACCAAAAATAAACATCTCAGCCAAGTTTCAGAATTTTTCATGAACAAATCGATTTATAGTAATTCATCAAGTTTTCAGTAGAAACAGAAATTAAATTATTAACCATATCAAATTTACTCCAAAAATTCTAAACATTTAACACAGCATATAAACACAGAGGCACAACATATCAAAATTTCAGCTCATTTGAATCACGGACCAATTTATTAAGCATTAACACTATTCTGATCAGAATTCACTTTAATTATTAAAAATAGCTACAGGCCTCTAAAAATTACGAAATTTTTACACAAGGCTGGAAATGAACAGATAACATATCCCTCAAAATCTCAAGTCATTCCGAGCAGCGAGATATTTTTAAAAATTCAAACACCAAAACAGCGACAATCAAGCTCGACAATTTAACGATTAAATTGAACACACGTAATTTCTCGTCCTGAGGCATTTCCATAAGGCCAAGGACTCGACATCGTTCCAATATCCACTGACTTACACAACTTTCGAGGTCTCGTTCAATTTCTCATAATTGAAGAGATCCCGAACAACATAAACGACACATAAAATCATATCTATCACCAAATATCATACCGAACCCAATCGCACAATATACACATCTCTCATATCAAATCGCAAATCACACATATTCATAAATAACATAAACGATTTAAACGAGACGGAAACGACTAGGTACCGTTCTCGGGAATTTGGAAAACGAAACGGAAAGACGAGGCGAGCTAGCGGCAAGCTCGACGGCAAGCGTCGTCTCGCGAAGAGAACAACGACTGAGAAGGGGATTGCTGCTGCTAGGTCGCCGCTGGAGTTCACTGCTCAAACGGAGGGAACGAACGACACTTACGCGGCGGCAAGCGGCGGCAATCGACGGCTACGCTCGACTTGCGAGAGGGGCTGCAGCGGTGTGTCTGAGGTCGCTGCGAAGTTGCTGTTGGCTCACGGCGAGTCGCGGCTGAGGACGGCTTCTCACGGCGAGGAGGAGCAACGACGGCCGCGGACTGAGCGGGGCTCGCGGAGGAGCAGCGGTGGCCAGCTTCGGTGGAGGGCTGTGGCGGCTCACGGTGGTCGCTCGCGGTGGAGAGTCGTCGGAATTCGAGCCTGCTCGCAGAGGTGGGTCGCGGCCGGGGATGGCTCTGCTCGCCGGTGGGAGGCGCTGTTGGTTCGCGGCGGCGCGCGGACAGGGAAGGCCGTCGAAGTTGCAGATCCGCCGGGTCTCGCGAGCGGTGACGACGATCGAGGGTTGGGGACCTGCTGGAGAGCTTTCGTCGTCGGGGTTGCAGCGGCTATGGAGGTTCGCCGGAAAGGGCTCGCGACAGGAGGAGAGCGGCGGTTCTGGTTTTCTGTCCACGAGATAGGGCGAGGATGATTATCGCGACGGGAAGAGAGGGAAAGGAGGAAGATGACGGCTAAGATGGCGATTGGATATGTCTATGGCGACGGGTTCAAAAACGAGAGAGAGGGTTGATGATGAAGGTGCGATCGTGAAGGGAAGAAAAATCTGATGAGGGAAAAATAAAAGCTGCGCTAGGTTAAAAGAAATCTCATCACACGCGTAAAAGATCGATGGGCCGGGTCGCGCAGGTTCAAGCCAGACGGGTTCGGGTCGCATACTAAATGGGCCAAGGGTTTGAAATATTTAAGTCGTAGGTTCGATCCAATGCATACAGTTCTCTCGGGCTCAATCTCTCGGGCTCGATAAATCGGTTGATTTAGCCAATATAAAATGGCTCGGTTCGCACGATATTTATAACAAAAATTCGGCTATTATAATAAAATATATTTCACACATTATTTATAATAATAATACACATTAAACATTTATTTCACAATTAGGCATTTAAATAAAATAATAATAACAATAATAAAAATAATAATAATAATGACAATAATATAATATTAATAATAAACAATAGGTAATAATAATATTAATAAATAATAATAAATAATCCTAAAATTACCCATAAATAAACGGGGCGCTACAAAGATATTTATGTCTTTTTAGGGCTATAATACTGTACAGATATTTGCAATCTTGGCAGCCTCCCCAAGATTAATTAGTCGCCTGAAATCAGGATTAGCAAGATTTAGTCGCGGGCTGGGCAGAATCGGACGGGCTGTAATCTTAGCAAACAAACACCAGTTTTGGGGTGGATTAGTAGGGTAATCTTATCTAATCTTACTTAGCAAACGTGCTCTTAGAGTATAGAGCGTTATAGTGATTAATATTTTAGGAATACAAAATATTATGAAACTATTATTTATTTTTTCTATTAAAAATATTAAATTTTGCTTACGAATAATATGAGACATGAATTGCATGAACAAATATTCAACATGAATTTGATAAATATTAATATCAATGTAAATTGTTATTTTTTCAGCTATGGTTGTAATTTATTAATTTCTAGGATTTGTAATTATTGTATCTCAAATATTGTTTTATAATTTAGTGTTAATTTAGTTATAATAACGACGGTAAAACGAATAACTGAAATCTATATAAATACTTCATGATTTTATACATGTATTCCTAAAAAATACATATAAGCAAGGCGGATCTATATTTGGGCGAAGCTAGGTAATTGCCTAGGCTCAATTTTTTGTGCTAACTACACATAGTTAATATGAGTTAATAAAAAATTTATATTTAATATGTGTAAAAATATAAATACGAGTTTTTATTTTAAAATTTTTAATAATTCTTACAAAATAACATAATTATTTTATTTAAAATGATACACCTCACCAGTCAGATTCGAGGATATTATATTAGAATATTTTTAGTACTTATATCATATAAAAAGCTTGATAGATAAATTTAATGCTTTTCAATTGTAATTGATAAGTATTTAAATTTTTATTGATAGAGATCAAATAGATATAATTATTTTAATTTATATTACAATATGAGTGTCAAATTATACATTGTTAAAATATGAGCAATTTAAGTTATCATATATGAAAATGATAATATAAACAAATATTATTAACTTTTAAAATATATTTACAATTTAGGTTACCCAAGTGTTTAAACTTGAAAGTTATGGATAAAGATCCATTTTTATATGGATTATTTTGAATCCTTAGAAATTAACATATAGAATTACAAAGGGTTGGAAATTGACAATGAATAACTCTACATTTATATATAAGAAGATAATCCATAAGGAAATATTTAAAAAATAACATTAACAAAAATAATGACATTTAGGCTTTTCTTAAGTTAATAAATTATATTTGAAAATGACTTGTTTATTTCCTATTACACAAAAAAATGAAAGAAAAGGATTGTAAAATATTTTGGTATATTTCTTAATAATAATAAAAATATAAAATAAAATAACCAGAATTCATTCTCAATTTCATTTTTTAGCATCAAGTCAAAGACAAATTGAATAGGGAACCCTCAACACCCAATTGTTTCGATGATTTATTTAATTGTTAATATAAGTACTTTGTGCAATATGGCTAAAAATTTCTTCGAATTATTTTTTGCCATGGCTTATAAAAATTTCTAGATCTGCCGATCCATATAAGGAGGGCGTAGTAATTTCGGGTTCTTAAAAACTTTTTGAGATTTCAAGAATCCTATTCGTTTAAGATTTTAAGAAGTCTTAACAAGGCATGAGTTATTCACTTGAAATTTTAAAATGTCTTAAAAATTCATAAGATATTCATTTGTAATTTCAAAAGTCTTAAAAAATCATGAGATATTCAATTTATTTATCGATTGAATTTGTATGGACTTCTTAAGACTTACTAGATTTCGAAGATAAGATACATATACAAAGTCTCATCTTCAGACATGGTATTTTTAGGATTTCGTTACAAATAAAAGAATCTTAAAATGACTTAGAAGGGTGTATTGGTTTGGTATTTTTTAATGACATTTTAAGAATTTTAAAAATTTAAGGTTTTTTGAGATTTTTTCTACGATTGTTTGATTTAACTAGGATTCTTAAAAATCTCATGTTAGGAGGTGAGATATGGAGTAATTATTAATTTACGTAATTTTGTTTTTGCAATCCCCAAAAGTCTTAAAAAGTCCAAGCTAAGTGCTAAATAAATTGAACATCTCATAACTTTTAAAACTTTTTAAAATCCTAAATAAATACATTAAGATTCTTAAAATTTTAAAAAGTAGTTAAAAGATTTCGGAATGAAAACAACCTAGATTTTCTGATTATAATGAAATTTCTCGTATAGAACACAATATTTCTGGTCACTTTATCGATTGGAACTCGNGAGAAATTTTGGTATGCTCTCGGCTCACACGCAAAATCAGAGACACCATCCAATCATCTCCCGTCACAAAATACAAACCACCGCCACCACACCCAATCCAATCCCCCAAACCCCTCTCACGCCACCAACCGCACCGGACGAATCTCCCGCCGCATCACCTCCGGCCACCGGGCTCTCAGCCGCCGCCGATTTCTTCGCAGCCGCCGGCGCCACGGCGGACGCGGGCGCAGGAGCCCCGAACAAGCTAATGGGGAGCAGGACCTTGTCCACCTGGTACACCGCCAGCTGGCCGTCGGTGTAGACGGTGTTTCCCACGGAGGCATCGTCAACGCCGGTGGAGACATTGACCTGGTTGCCGGAGGTTGTGACGTTGATCTGAAACCCGCTGTCCCCTGCCTGGGTCCGGATCGGGTTGCTCACCGTCTGGAATTGGGGCAGCGAGAGGTAATTGGGGATGACGTGGAATTGGATGAGGGAGACCTTCTGCTGGTCGGAGATTGAATTGAGGGTGCCTGAAGGGAGGGCCGAGAAGGCCGCGTCCGTCGGGGCAAACAATGTAATCCCCTGCCCGGCGGCCGTGTTGTTGAGCTGGGCGTCAATCTGGGGCCCCAATTGGGTCGTCCTCAGAAGTCGGATTAGGGTTGTAAACTGACCCGCTTTCTCCAAGATCTTCGTCACGTTAGTGGGCCCAGCGGGTGCTGGGCCTGGGGTTTGGGCCACCGCGCAGGTCCAGAAGAGTACGATTAGAAGGACTGAGAGTGTAGGTACGCGATTCTCCATTTTCGGGTTTTTGGATTTTTTTTTTTAGTTTAATTTTGGTTGAATATGGACAGGGAATGTTGCTAATTTGGTGTATGCAAGGTTAGGAGGGAGAGGAGAATAAGGAGGCTTTTATGGGGGAATATTTGGAGGAGGAGAGAACTTATTAAGATTGGTTTGGTGAGGTGGGATTTTAGTTGGGAGGGATAATATTTAGCAGAAAATAAAAATGTGTCAAGGATGTCAAAGCTGCTGGTGGGGGGTTGCGATTGTAGTTAGAAGTGTTAAAATGACTGTTAGCGGATTAATTTTGGTGTGTTTATTACAAGCATTTTTCATTTTATAGCTGCACATAAAGAAGATGATATACTTTATTATATATTCCCCTTCTTGACTGAAGTATTGTCATTATAAACGTCTTGGATACAATTTCAGCTTCAAGAATTGAGTTTGAGTTTGAATAATAATCCACCTTGTAATATGCCTTGAGTGAGTCAAAACGATTTATGTTTATACTTTGCCATGTATTTTCTTAACAGCTGTCCGAGTCGAGCTCATATTTATCAAAGTGGAAAGAAATGTTAAAGCTTGGTTTTGTTGCATTTAACAAACCCAGCTAAGCTTAGTTTCAACATAAATGCATGATTATAATTAATTTTGCGTAAGCTATTTGAGATTGTGTTGAGTATTATTCATGCTGAGACTGTGACGCTCCAACTTAAATGATTAATTATACATGATTTTATGAGAGTACAAGAATGTAATTCAAGAGACTGGGTTTTGCTTGGAAATGCAGGAAGAACGTAAAGATGTTGTCTAGTCAAGGATGTTTTGTATATATGATTGCTTGGCTTTCACTTGTATGGATATGGGCTTTCTGTTCAGCAGTATCTTGCAGCATGCTTTAGAAGCAAGTTTCAATAATGAATTTATATATTTTGCTTATATAAACTTAGGGCTTTTGTTATGATTTGCGGTTGGTTCTATTAATTGATCAAATCTGATTTCTGATAGCTGGTTTTGGACAACTTTTGTGATGGATTAGATTGCTGCCATTGCTTGCGATATTAAGAATGTGTTGTCTATCAGGATTCACGCGGGATCTGTGATGATCTCATTTAAAGCCCTTTTCAACTTCTACTGTTAAGACTAATCCCTACTAACGCTAAATTGTGATCGACGCCCTATTGTCACCTTTTTTAGTTTAAATAGTTTAAATTATTATTATTATTTTTTTATATATATGGATTTTTTTTTGGGTTATTTCCTCAAAAATCCCTAACCCACATTTCCATTTCCTCCTCAGTCCCCAATACTTTATTTCTTCCTTTCAACTCCCTAATACTAATTTATCTTTGCTCTCAACTCTCCATATAAATACTATTTGTATTATTATTGATTTATTTTTACTAATTAATTCATTTGAACAATTTCTCACTCTCTCTCTTCATTATCTCTCTCTCTCGCCTATTCCCGTCTCTCTCTCTCTGAAAAATCGCCGTGAAATCGCCGGGAAATTTCTCACTCTCTTGTGCATCGCGTATCATCTCTCATTCTCTGTCTTGGTGCGTCGCTCGTCGGTGAAGAAGATTCCCCCTCCCTTCGCCATATCTCCGGGAAGCCCTCCGTCTCCGACCAAAATGCCGCGATCGAAAAAGCCGACCGTCTCCGGGAAGCCCTTGGTATCGGAAAAACCATCTTCCTCTTCCAAAGCTTCCAAAGCCGTAAGCAGTGTTGATTTTTGGGGATTTTATTGAACTCGAAAATTTGGAGATTTTTACAAAATTTTGATTTTTTTTTTTCTCGAATTGGATGTTTTCAAAAAATTGAGATTTTTTTATGGTAATTCACTTCGAATTTGGGATTTTTGTGATAAATTATGGCTCTTTGCATGTAGGGTTCATAAGTTTTTATTTTGAATTAGGGTTCATAATATTTTTTTATTTTGAATTAGGGTTCTTTGCATGTAGGGTTCATAAATTAGGGCTTCCAATTTGGGATTTTATTGATAAATTATGGCTCTTTGCATCTAGGGTTCATAAATTAGGGATTCGAATTTGGGATTTTATTGATAAACTAGGGCTTCGAATTTGGGATATTATTGATAAATTCAGAAATTAAATGTTGCTGCTGTTGTTATTTGCGAAATTAGGGTTGAGGTGTTGTGAATTTCAGTTTGAATTGGTGTTTTAAATGTTGTTGTTGTTGGGATTTTGTTGCTGCTGTTGGGATTGTATTGGTGTTTTTTATTTGTTATCAACTTTCTCATAACAAATTGATCCAGTGATGCTGTTTTCCATTTTGTTGCTGTTGTTTTCCATTTTGTTCTGTATTCTATCATGTTGCTGTTGTTTTCCATTTTGTTCTGTAGATGCATTATTTGTGTTTTATATTTTGTGATAGGGCACTGATTTTAGAAGTCGATGTGCCCCATCTTACTTTAAGGATGTGATGGACCGAATTCTTGTTGTGTTGTCTGATCAACACAAGCAGGCTCTTCAACAGAGCCCTTTCTATTTTTTTGTTAACATGTCGGACATAGCCATTTCACATGGCAGAATTGAGGCTCTAATAAGCACATACACGGCAGAAATGAATGCATTTGTTGTAGGTAATGGTTTGTGTTTAAAATTCGATCCGGCTGAGTTTTGTTTGACAATGGGGCTGCGGCAGTGTGGTCTAAGTATAGACTTAGATTTGAATTTGGAGTCCAAAGCCCTATTCGATTGTTGGGGTCGGGTTGATAATAAGCTTTTGAAAAGAAAGCACGTTGTAGAATATTTAAAAAAATTTGCTGTGGATGAAGGTCGCGTAGACGAATTCATCAGGATGTTCACTCTTTTTGTGTTTAGCTGTATATTGTTTCCTTGCTCTAGTTATTCCATTCCTAGGTTTTTTACCCTTACCTAGAGAATGTGAGTCGAATTTGTGAGTATGCATGGGGCGATGCTATTCATAAATTCTTGGTTGCCGAACTTGTTCGCCATAGTGAATCGAGAGAGAGATCATACTTTGATGGATGTGCAGTTGGATTGATGGTATGTATGTATATATATATATATATATATATATAAGATTGTGTAATTTCAATGTCTTAATACAATAATATTCAATTATGAGATTGTGTAATTTTGAAATAATGTTTATGTGTAGGCTTGGTTGTACGAGCGTGTGCCTTCTCTGGGCAAACGGTCCACGCTCGAGGCGATTCCCCATCTGTTTCGATGGACGGGGAGCAATTTGCCGTCTACAATGGAAGGGTGTTTAAAATCCCTTCACAAAATAATGAGGCATAAGGTATAGTTTTATAGTATTATGTTTTTTCTTCTTCTTCTTTTTATATTTTTGGTTAATCGATATTGTTCTTAAATCATTATGATTTGCTTTGTAGGTGTATTCGGTATCGCCTTTGTCTGCCGAGCGTGCTTTTGTGGAGATCCAGGTTTTCTTTAATGTTGGTCGACAATTTATGTTTCAACATTAAAAAATTTTCAATTAAACATGTATCTTTATTTTATGTTCCCTTTAATTTTTGTTTTTTCTTTCATGTACAGGGAACGGTCGAGACCCGTTTACTTGCATTTGTTTGTGAGGAGAATGAACAACTTAAAAAAGAATGTGGACACAAAAGAAGCAGGAAGAAGAAGAAAAAGAAAAAGAGAAAGATGAGGGGGTGGAAAAAGAGAAAGATGAGGAGGAAGAAAAAGAAAATGAGGGTGCTGATGGCGGTTTTGGCTCGATTGACTTTGAGGAAGAAGAGAAGGAGAAAGAGAAGGAAGCGGAAAAAGAAAATGAGGAAATAGAGGAAAAAGAGGAGGAGGAAGAGGAAAAACAAAATGAGAAAAAAAAGGAGGAGGAGGAGGGAGAGGAGGAAAAAGAGAACGAGGAAAAAAGGGATGATGAAAAAAAGGAAGAAGCATGGGCTGTGGTGGTGTATGGGAATAAGCCAGATGATGAAAAAAATGAGTTTGTTGACTTGAACCAATTGGTGAACCTGGTGGTGGAGTCTGCCGGTTTGACGGGAGGGCTGAATGAGCCGAACTATGAGCACGGTGCTCAGAGCTCGCACCGACCAGCAGAGGAGGAGAAGCAACAGGCCTCCTCCATTGTGAAGAGGGTGCGGGAGAGGCAAGGGAGGAAAAAAAAAGGAAAAGGAGGCCCTCCGAAGAGAAAAGAAAAAAAAGTTGCAGTTGACTTCTGGGACTCATGATGTGGTAATTAAACTATTAATTTTATTTCTGTAATTTATGTTATTGTTCGTGTTGTTTTCATATAAATAACTAATTATTTTGTTATGTAGGAGAGTGCCGAGAGTCATTCTCATGAGTCTTCTTTGATGAGGTTTATAGGGAGAGAGGACTTCTGTGGCCATGATGACATTCAGGAAGAGGATCGTGGAGCCATCCGATCATTCCTGGCGACCGATCGCATTATATTCGTTATCGATATCCATAATTTTGAAAGTTTCCATAACAACTTTAGAGGTCGGACCATGGCCTCCGAATCTGATTGGAAGAGTGATCTCACCCAGTGGCACCGACACACTTATGGACTCTATCATTGCATGGTCGGACGTCGGTGGGGTCAAGTCCAAGTTTGTTGAAAGCTCGGAGCATAAGGACACTTGAATACGCGCTAGTGTCCACCATGATCCGGTGGACGGGGATCCCATAAATCGGCGCTGTGATGAGTAGCGCATCGGAATGAGGGTGATCGAACAGACTGGCATCCTCCAAAGTGAATGTAATGGGACAAGTCCGCGAATTGATCGTCTCCCTTAACTCGGTGACCATCACTTGTTTTTCCGAATTGTATGCTTTTCTGGCGTACGCCTTGGCCTGCCGACGTGAGGATGTCAACTCTTCTCGATTTGTGTTGACTCGAGGAACAGAACCCACCCGAGATGAGTTGTGGAAGATTTAGGGAATATCTTCTGTATTTTTTAACCCCCTGCTTCTTTTTCCAAGTCGGTCATCGACCGTCCTGGGATCAATTGGACCGTACATAAAAATTTCTTTTCCCCCTGTTGCATTCTGACTCTTTTGGCGTTCATAGCCCTCTCATCCTCTTCATCTCGGTCAGTGACGTGGGCCATCTGATGTCTTTCTTTCTCTTCATTCGGTTTAGTGAACCTTTTCATTTGGGGATTTCCAACAAGCTTCATGAGTGCTGATAGCAAGCTGAGGCACTCGTCGGTATTGTGACCTGGGGATTTATGATAATCACAATACCGAGATTTATCCAACTGGCTCTCCGGGGTTTTGACAAGTTGGGCTTCGGGGATAATTCCTTTCCCTTTAATTTCATGATAGACTGCGGCGGCCTCAACTGAATAGATTGCGCGATACCCCGACATCAGATCTTCTTTAAATTGTCTCCGGGCTGCTTTCGCCTCTGGGTCGTTGGGATCGCTTCGGAATGGCTCTCTGAATTTCAGGTTTTTTGACGAACTGTCAAAGTGTTTCTTCTTTTTCTTACTCTCAGAAGTCAGTCTCTGATCCTTCGGGACGATTTCAAGGTCAGGTACCGACATGGATTCTTCCGCGATAATGTGTTGTTGAGCTCGGGCAAGGAACTCCTGGAATGTCCTGGGTTTGTTCTGACAGATCCCAGCGA